CCGGTGGGGTGAAAGGACACTTAAAAATCACCCCGTTATTTTTCGAGGGGCGGGTGGGACCCGACAAACGTCCTGGGCCGCCCCTTTTGTTTTTTTTTATTTTTGCCCCAGGGGCCTCCATCCAGACATGGGGACCGGACACCAGACACCGGACACCGGACTGTCTGGAACCCGGTCCGGACGTCCGGGCGGTTACCATGCACCCCAGTGACCCCCATTTTGTTTGCTTTTTTTCATGCTTTTAATTGCTAAAAATGGAGTTGTCTGGGCCCGGACGTCCGGGACCCCCCTGACTGTCCGCCCAGGACGTCAGGCCAGGACGTCCTGCCACCGGACAACTGGTAACATAGAAATAGACTAAGTGTCATATGGCGCATAATGATTGGGAGAAGAGATACATTTCACAGCTCCTATTGTTCCTCATTATGAGACTATGTCATTTCAAAAATCATTATGTTCTTATGGAATGCTGGACCCAGTTTCGTGCAGATGAAGCTCCACACAAATAGATGGAGTGGCCGCTTAGCGGTCTACTAGGAGAGGTTTATATCACCCCTCCTAGTAGGTCTGGATTGACCTTGTGTTAAAAAAAAAAAAACATAAGGGATTTTGTTGCATCTCTTTCCTTTTTTTTTTAATTCCTGTTTCAGAACAAGTGGGTTCATTTGTGGTTGAGGTTAGTTCAATTTTGTTTTGTCAACCTTTCTTGCAGAGAATCATGCACAGTAAGCATTTGGTTCACTGTAATAGACCAATTATGGGTCCTCTAGAAAATTTTGGATTTTTTTTTTGGAGTCAATTTCGGCTTGTTTTGTGGCTCAACCTGAGGGTTAAGGGTTTAGGTTGGAAGCCCCTGATGTTTTTGGATGAATCTTTTACATCATTGATATATAGCCTCCGGCACTAGGCCTGATTGAAGTAAGATTCCAAGGTGTTAAACAACCACTACCTCTGATCCTGATTTTGTCGACCTTGAATTTCACTGCGCACCAAGTTTTGTCGAGCCTAGCATGGGGCGGTACCATTTGATATTTCGTATTTGGTAACGCCATGAAAAAACAAACTCATCACGGCTGACCGATACACAAAAGAAAAAGGGGAAAAAGAGAGAAACGTCCCAGAGACTGCGATACTGGGATAGTGGGATAGTGAGATGATTTTCACATTCAATCAATTAATATTCACAGATCATCAATTCCACAGACAGGACAATATACTTTCAAGTATGACAATCGAGAAGGAAGGAAGATGGGTCTCGAAAGATGGTAGAACAAATGAGACCACGACCTGAAATCAGATGAAGACAAAGACAAGAAGAAGATAGCGCATGAGACCATGGGGAGGACACCGGGATTTATCCATACACGACCGACAGTTGACTTTTAAGTTAATTAGATAAGTCGGTAACATCGTAAACTTGTCGTCACTGACACAATAAATTAGAGTTGCTCTTCTACCAGTGTTGGTGGTCACCCTACGCCGCATTTCGGTCGGTTGCCAGTTGGCATCATCAGGGGTCTTAATATCGCAACTTAAAGTGAGGGAGGACTTCCCCAATGCCTCATGTTTCCTTAAGTAGCCAGGATCGGAAAAAAAAAAACGACGACTTGACCCTTCAAGCATACGTCCGAGATAAGCATCTAATCTACAAATCTGTCTTGATGCAGACATATCATAACACCTCATGCCACATACGTCCAAAATAATCGACTCAGTACCAATACCAAAGTAACTGATGTTTACAAGACTTGGCGAAATTCACCACAGAGTTACAGACCATTGAAAATATCGACTGTCCTGAGTCCTAAAACATCGGTTCGAGCCTAAGCAGAGTTGACGGGACAAAAACAAAAATTGAGGATACCAAAAGGGGGTTCAACCGTCAACGAGAATTCAAGTCCAAAAACTAGATCAAGGCCAAGTAAATCAAATAATAACCAGACCGAAGCACAACTTTTTTTTTTTTTTTTTTACTTTTTTTTTTCTGACATTGCTCCGAGGATGAGTCGTAAAACCGACGCTCCGAGGATGAGTGGAACGAAGACGACAAAAACCCTAAACTTTTCCGAGGATTCATCCTCGGAGCCCGAGGATGCCCCGAGGAGTGTCGAACGATGCCCATAGAGTTTGAGCCCATAATCAAAGTAAAACAGAGTTAGGTCCAATAAAGAGAGAAATAGGCCACATAACGAGTTCTAGAAATGAAAATGTATGCGAGATAGTAATAGTAAACCGAGATAATTGACAGAAAACCCAAATAATAAAAAATAGATCGAGTTCCAGGTAGCAAAGTTCGACTCCCAAAGTCGAAGTAACATAGAATCAGGACGAAAAGAAAGAAGAATATACTAAACAGGGAAATTTAGAGTCACTTATTGAGTTCCAGAAGGTGCCATGCAGCATCAAAGAAACCGATCCCATCTCGTGAGAGACAACCCATTCTTGTCACTCATTCTCGTACTTGGCAGAGAAGTAATTCAATGCAGAGTCAAAATAATAATGCGAAAAACTCCTCAGATGCAGCTCGATACTGAGTATGAGTAAAAACAACACCTCCACCTCTTTCATTATCGTGGACCTCCTAGCCTTGTGCATAAGTGAACTAATCACAACCATTTTTTGTTGCTTGTTGGGAACGTGCAAAAATCCTGCAAATTTTGAAACACTAATTATCATTTTCTCACCATTACTTGATTCTTATGCGTTGCTGCCACCATTTCTCATGTGGGTCATTGGTCAACCTTGACCATACAACCTAAGAAGTCTTATTGGTTT